GTTGGGTACTACTACAGGGCGTGGATCCTACACCTGTTTGCCTACGTTCTCTTCCCTGACGCTATGGGTGACACTACGTCGTGGATGTGGGTCCACTGCCTCAGTGACTGAGATCAGGCGGATTAATACAGCTGGGGCTCTGTAGTCTTGGGTTTTCTTTACCGGCAACTTTGCGAGGGGTGTCATCGAACTTCGTCCACAGCGTTACTTGGTGGATGCATGTACCTGCTTCAGTTGTGGATGTGGGCTCGTCTACCAGTTGGTCGTCCCGAGGTTCTGGCTACTTGTGAGTGGTTCACAGGTCAGCCCCCACGTCGGCAGCCGATGTGGGCATACCTTTGGGACCAGGTTAGGGTTCCACACGCGAGGTTAGAGCGGGCGTACATTGAGTTCACAAACGAGCTAGACACGCTCATGACATCTAGGGTAAGTAAATGTTATTTCCCATGCTGGTTTGAAATGGTTTAGTATACCATCTAACATCTTGTTTGGATATGTTGCAGGTGTCGTGGGAGCCGTACGATGGAGAGGGGGCACTTCCTTTTCATTTCAGCAACATGTGTGGGTTCGACGATGACTTCTATAGGATGAGGTGCCCTCTATTCTATTTCTATGATGTCGAGTTCCACCTACCAGATAGAGTTGCACGCCAATTTAGTGTGAGACAGCTACTGGCGTTGACTTACACAAGTAAGTGTTTTGCTATTTCAAATGTCTCGTGATGGTCTATTTCCATTAATATGGTGACATATACATGGATTCAAGTAACGATGACATACGTGTAGGTTGGATTGTTAGAAGAACAGAAAGATTTTTGAGTGGGACAAGCACCACCAGTACTACATTGAGCAATGGGAGGAGATGCACGACAACACGGACGAGAACAATGAGTCGCACACGATCTGTGAGTTCAGGCGGTACCAAGCTTAGTACCAACGTGTGACACGTTGCAGGCTGAGGGTATAGTGGATAGAAGATGACTACACCGATATCGAGTCCTCCGACGATGATGACATGGCGTACGACCAATCTACTCGTGTAGGAAGGCGGGTGGAGGCGGGACCAATCTTGGAGCAGTGGTAAGTCAATTGCCTTATTTTTCTACGTTAAGTTGCATACTAATACATTATGCGTTAGAGGTATCTATTTTAGTTAGTGCCACCTTCATGCCGTAGCATCCTTATAATACATTAGATTGTTGTAGAAAAGAACAAAAAACATGTTGCTATCTATTCAGAAGTATTTTCACTGAAAACTTTGTTGCAGGGCAATACCCTCAAATGCTCCATTGAAGACATTGAGCGCTTTCATCTGAGAGTCAGGGACGACGACACGCGTAGCTTCCTAGACATAAGATTCAAAATATTCTTTCAAACATATTATTAATATGTTAGATTTTTTCAGTTAACATAATTTTGTACAACTGAGGCTATCACGTCGGCTACGTCGTGCGACTGCTCGTTGTGGTTGCAGGACAGACTCGCCGCAAGACATGTACATTACTCCCATAGGCAGAGGAGGCTTAGGTTCCTCTAGCCAAGCAGCTACAGGGGACGAGGATAAGGAGGACGACGACGTGGACCAGAGGCACAAGGAGCTTGGCCCCTCTCATCTCCAGGACGCTCCCTCGACTCAATCTACACAGCCTCTAAGCATTAGGCGACATCGTCCACCTGACCCTTACACTCCAGGTACTAGCGCTCTTGGTCACATGGGTAAGGGTAAGACTAGGAGACAATGAGGTTTTGTGGTAGATGTTAGTATGTACTATTATAGATTTTGTAGTTACTTTCCTATAACTATTCAGGACTGTGTGGATATTGTGGACTATTTAGACTATGCAGAACATATTATGTTGATTGTGATGTTCGTTGTGGTTGCATTGTGCTATTTGGACAATTAAATGTTTGGATTATATAATGATGTCTCTGTTTATAACTATGGATGCTCCTGAAATAAGGGAAACTCTTGCGAATTTTTTCCGTTAATCATTAATTATAGTACACTGTAAAAAAGGTACAAATATAGTATATAGATTAAATGTAAATTCGTTAGAACGTGTATAGTCCAATCGTAACGTACAGACGCTTTGTAGATGAATCTAGGCTTCTAGTTAAGTGAACGAATCTAGCATTTTCAGACAATGCAAACAGACTTCCGACGTGCGTAGACATCCGGCCAGCAAAAACCCAGGTGTCGGGACTCCCGACTTGGGTCAGGACTTTCGACTGTCGGGAGTTCCGACTCACATCGGGACTTCCGACGACCACAATCACTACGCAGGTTAAGTGACTGGGCATCAGGAGTTACGGCATGAGTCATGATTTCCGACGGTCGAGAGTTCTGGCTTACGTCGGGATTTCCGACATCAATAGTCACTGAAAAATATTCTACGTGCTCGTGGAGTGCTAGAGTATCTCTCTTTTGATTTTATTTTTATGCTTGAGCACTCTATCTTTCTCAGACCAACTAAGTTTGCATCCCTCTTTATAGTGCGGCGGATCCTAAACTTAAAAACAAAAATAAAACCTTTGGAGAGCGCATACTGAGTAATAGCTGCGACATATCTCATTAATATCACATTAGTCTCTAATTTGTATGTCATCTATACACCAAAATTCACATAGGAGATAAATGCACTTTCAAATTCTTAGTCTAAAACATACTGAGTAAGTAACTTATTATCCGAGTATCAGTCCTCTACAACAACCTTGTTCTTTGTGGCTAGGCTCACCTACATTGCTCGACATTGCATGTAAATGTAGTAAGCGGCCTCCACTTCATCTGCGTTATGGTCCTCGCTGCATTCAATCCCTTCATATATAAAATGCAATTAGTTAGCAACGCAATTATATTACATTTAAATTCAGGCAACGAAAAAAAAGCTTTTAAGCACTGACTGACGCATAATGCAACAACATGCTCGTTTAAGACATGCATCTATACCCTTGTCTCCTCCCTTGCCTCTTTCGTTGCCCTCTCCTCCTCTAACGTCCTCCGTCTCTCCAATCCCTATTTGTCAAGCCCAACATCGATCGGGTTATGAATACCGTGATGTCTAGCAAACTCACGTATCTTGTTTTTGTGATGTTTAATGAATAGGTTGACGTAGTCAGGTCCATATCCTCTCTTCCGTGAAATTACTTGCCTCCGCTTCAGTTCATCCAAGAATTTAGCTTGACCATCGTAACATTCTCACCTGTATTTTCTAGTGCTCTGTTCAAACGAAAAATTATATCATATGTCTTATCAAAATAAACAAAATACGATTTCATGTTTATCACAAAAATAACCAACCTCGTTATAGTCAACCATATGGCCGCAATAATTGCCTATTTCAAACTCCGAAGGGACTAAACCGTAGTTGAATTTAACACCACATTCGCACTTGACTAGAGGTGCTTTGTAAATTAACCTTTCTTTTTTCTTTTTTTTGTCTTTGATGGCTCTATCCATCGATTCTTAGGATCACTCCTTGAAACGACACTTCGCAAATCCATACACCTAAAAGAGTAGACATTAGTACACGCACACATAGGGCTAAACATTTAAACAGATACATTTTCACTTACTTCGTGTTTGTTCGAACACACAAACTCCAACGTATTCTCAGGGTTTATCATAGCTCGATCTTCGCATTCGCATAGAGGAGCTTACTCGAGTCGTTTAACTGCGGCTAGGTGCTTCTCCTTAGCCATTATTGGCGAGGGTTAGGAGGGTGGAACCCACCGCTTGAAGTGCTCACGTGGATGTCTCCATCTAAACAAATAATCGAAAAGGAGGTACCTAGGGTCAAACTTGTTCTGCACTGGTCGGTCCTTTGAAAGAAAAAAACACCTCTCATTGCTCTACACAACAAAATTCCTACAAAATATTAGTAGTATACTTACACAAATAAAGAAAAAAATATAGTAGAAACAATTACTTACATTAAAACAACTGCATGCGTAGAAGTAATGCGCCGCTGTATCTGGATGTCTCGATTGAAACACGTGGGCCTGGAAACCACAGTCACGGTTAGGGATAGGGAGGTCAGGAGGGACGGGAGCATCTTTGCTAGACGCGTTGGGGTATAATTCTCGAGGACGACTCCGTTTTCGCCAAAACCCCTCACGATATATTTTTTGCATCTAACAAAAAGGATATAATTTAACAAACAAAAATCAAAACATCATAAATTAATGTCAATGAGAACCATAATATAATACAACCAATTTTGTTCTAAAAACCGAAAGCAATTAACATTAAACCCTAAACCTAGGGTTTCCCATTTGATGCACAACAATGAACCCATAACATAACTACATGCGCTACGGTTACCTAGGTTTGCTAGTTTTTTCACGTCTTGGCATCATCCTACGGTTGTATCATACAAATATTGAGGGATAGAATGAAACCATAAGTAATGATGATTCTTAGGTTGAAAAATCCGACTAATATATATCGAATCGATGCGAAAAAACTAAGAGGAGAGCGAGGATACCTTGCTCTCGAAGATTTACGGATCAAATCAAAGTTTCTAAGGTCCAATATGCCGATTCGTGAGGTAGGGTGAAGTGAAGAGAGAAAAAACCCGAGAGAGAGGAGAAAGAAGAGGAAAAAGGCTCGGGCAGGAAGGTTGGGGCCAGGGTTAAAACACCACCTCGGCGCCATAGATCATGGCGCCGAGCTCGACGCCAAGATCGGCGCCAGGATCTATGACGCCGAGCTGCCTGCCAAGTCATCGTCACGTCTGTATCGAGCCCAAGACCTCAACGCCAGCAACGATGATGCCGAGCTTTCCGCTCGGCGCCAGCAACTATGTCGCCGAATTAAGGGTCTAGATTTTAAAATGTTAACTCCAAGTGCATATTTATGAAATTTTTTTCAAGAAAGGGGATAAAAAATAAAAAATTCGGTCCTTCGACTAAAGTTACCAAACGCATCGTAAAACCAGCTCATCGACTCGAGCTCGAGCTCCAACTCGGCGGAGATCTCCGGCGAGTCGCGGGACGCCGGCGATGGCACCGGGGGCCGACGAAGCACTGTACGAGATCCACCGGCACGCGTCGGGATCCCACGTGATCCCTCATGTGAGTGCCCGGCCCCTCCCTCTCCCCCTCCTCATCCTCCCATGCTTCCTCCCGCCTCGTAATCCAATCACGGGCGAGTTGTGCGCGGGGGAGATGCGAGGCGGGTCATCGTAGATTCGCCCTCTTCAGCACTAATTTCTTGATGTCCTTTTTCCGAATTCTGTTTTCGGGTGTGGGTGTCGCCAGAGTTCATAGCAATAGCTCATAAGGATTTTTCGTTTTAGCCTGTCTACCATTCTATGTGTGTGTGTGTGTGGTGTGTGTGTGTGTGTGTTTTCGTGCAACTTTGCTGCGCGGGTGTTCAATTTACTAAGGTTTCAGTAGTATTTTGGAAGCTAAATAGCTGTGAAATCTTGATGGTTATCTTCATTGTTATGTGATTCTTGCAAACACAGCAAGAAGAATACCAAGGTGCTGCGACAAGTAGTGGTAGCTCAGATGCTGGAGGAGGCGGCGTCCTCTCCTATCTCTCCTTGCAAGGTACAATATCATCGCTTCGAATTCTTCACAAATCCATCCATACAGGATGCAGCGCTGATCAGTTGCTTCTTTATGCTACTACCACCCCTGAAGGTGTGAGCAAACTTAAGGAAAGGTGGGCTAGGTACAGTGTGCTGGGGAAGAGTAGGCAGAGGAAGAGGGGCGATGGCGTGGCACTGTTTGTCTCACCAAACGCGGAATATGTGTCTGTAACTGTTGGGAATCGCATCATCATCTTGAGGAAAGGCGATGGCTATGCATCACCTTGCGGTGTTTACACAAGTGAGTGAGTGTCCTGCTTGTTCCTGCATCGCTTTGGTTCTTATAGTGTTATTCACTGGTGTTGACTATTATGTGTATTATTAAGCCTGAAAGAAATTGCCTCTCAATTCTCATGCGTAGAGAGTATTAAGTTATATTTATTGGAATGAGTGAACCACATATTATTTGAACTTTGAAGTCCTTTCAGAAATGTGGCATCTGAGATCATCATAATTTGCATTTAAGTAAACAAAAAAATGTTGTTTGTGGAAGATATCTTTATTTGGTCATGACAATAGCATTTTATGTTGTGTAATTTTAATATGCACTGCTGACACAGAAGTAAGGTTGTTGTGACTCTAGTTTCCTAGCTTGCTGCTCCCTTTGTCCGGGAAAGAACACAATTCTAGCATACTACCGAGTCAAACCATTTTGAGTTTGACCAAGTTTATTATTATAAAAAATATCAATATTTATAATACCAAATAAGTGTCATTTGATTTGTCATGAAATATATTATTAGTAATTTAGTATACATATTTTGTGTTGTAAAGATTGATTCTTTCTCTATAATCTTGGTCAAACTTTAGAAAGTTTGACTAAGGATAGAGCTAGAATTGCATGTTTCCCCCCCGGACGTAGGTAGTACTTCACATATAAATTCTCTATGTTAAGGCTCCCAATTTATTTATCCAAATGTGGAGGATTTGGGTGCAGGCTGCCATTTCCATGCTTCAAAGAAAAGTTGAACTGATTATTGAAAGGATTTCAGTCCATGCATCATTTGTTACCATTTACATCAAGCATACATTTTTCACTGCTCATTATGTTTTCGTTCCTCAGGGACACCAATTAAAATTTTTGGGAGATTAGGTGCCAGTTTTTTGTTTATGTTGGCAGAAATATTGCACTATGCATTTTGCTACAATCCCTAGACTGTAGCAATCTGCATATTTCCATTTTCTTTTTAGTTGCTTAAAAATGGTTTTATAATGTGGAACATAGTTTCATGTGCATTTTCTGCAGTAGATGTCCGGGGGCATCATTTTTTTCTGATTATACACTGTATTCTGATTATTTATGGTCAGGTAATGACAGAATAACATTTTTCACAAATGGGGCTTGGCTGGAGGCTCAAGGCATTTTTGGTGTGGTGGATGACCTAAGCACACTTTACTTGATCAAAGAAAATGGGGAGTTATTAGCAAGGAGGACATGCGATCAGTTGAAGCTATCTTCTTCCATTATTGATCTGGTTTTGCAGGATGCTTCAAACTTGCTTAGGTGATTCTCAGTTGTTTTCAGTTTGGAGTTTCCCCCTTAAATCATGTATGACTTCATTTCGTGGGATAATTTGGCAGTAACTAATAAATTGCATTACTATTTGTAGGCCAGGTTTCTACATTTTTACAAGTGACTGCTTGGTTCATAGATTTGATTACACTGAAGAACCTGAGGCCAGTTTATGCGAAGTTCCCATATCAACTAAAGATGTGATGTCAGCTAAGACTGTCCAGTTACCTCGAAGTTTATCGTGCATCGATTACCATCAATGTCACTCACTATTTGTCCTAGTTGGAGATTCCAATGTTTCATTTAGCTCCAGTAGTTATTCTGGTATGCTCATTTACTAGCCTGTTCTCAACTGCTACACTTGTCAATCCTGCACTATATAGATTGTTCATGAAATTCAAATGATGTTGTTTCTAATCTTCTTTATTATCATATTTTAGGAACCTATTTTATGTATCTATTACACGTCAACAAAAATATGGAACTTAGTCTTTCATTTCAAAGCCAGCAGTTGGAAGGGGTATTTTCTCCCCTAAAGGATCAAAGAACCTTTGTTTCATTCCCAAAAATCAGGATCTCACCTCAGGGAAAGTATATTGCTACGTTGGATTTGACTGGTTTTGTAAACTTCTTTTCACTTGATGGTGACATGTGCACTGTTTCACTTCATACTCTTGGAAATGGTAGAAGCCTAATTGATGTTAAGGACATCAGGTGGTGGACAGATAATGTTCTCATGTTGGTAAGAAAAGATGGTAGCATTAGCATGTACAGCATCACTGAAGACAGGATGGTTTCCAAAGATGACCCAGTTTTATCTACACCAGTATTGGAGAAGGCAAAGGCTACTGAAGGACATGCTTTTGTTTTGCAATCTAAGAGATATGGAACAAACACTCCAGTTAATAAGCAGATGGATAGTGACTCGGAACCTAGCCTGCTTAGTGGTTCTGGGGAGCACCAACAAACAGAAATGGCTGAAATGTCCTGGAGTCTGATATCGTTCTCCAAAGTTACAGTAGCAGAAATGTACTCTGTCCTGATAAGAGAGAAACGATACAAGGAGGCTTTAGATTTTGCTTCAAGATATAATCTAGATAAGGATGAAGTTCTTAAAGCATGCTGGTTGCACTCTGACGGCGATACTCATGAGATAGACTTGTACTTAGCAAAAATTAAAGACCAAGTATTTGTATTATCAGAATGTGTAAACAAAGTTGGGCCTACAGAAGCAGCTTTAAGGGCTCTACTTTCTTTTGGACTTTGTATAACTGACCGTTACAAATTTTCTGAGTTGGATAACAGCAGTAAAGGTCCAACATGGGACAGTCACATCATTAGGCTTCGTTTATTGCGGCACAGAGACATGTTAGAGACATTCTTGGGAATTAATATGGGAAGGTATGTCCTTCCTATTCTTTCTCTAGATAAGAACGCACAACCAGGAAATTGTTAATTTCTTGGAAGCATTTACAACTATATTACAGTTGTTGAGTCACATTAATCCTACACAAATCTAATTAACATAATTCGTTACGTGCATAGAGCATATCTAAGTCACAGTTCATTACTCAAGGTACTATAGAGGTTTCTGCACTGATATACTCCCCTTAGTAATTTGGTGTAGCGTTCCACTTATAACCGAAATGAGCTTAACCCAATGGCAACCTGGCTCTAGTTTTTTACATGAAGGAAAAAGAAAAATGGATGCAAACACTTATCTTCTTAGTCAAAGGAAAGTTTCTTGACTTGTTTCCATTTTATCGTTAACTTAACATTTCCAAGGTTACATGTTGGCTTGTTTTTCATTTGTCTAACCTATTTGTTCATTCCAGTTCTTAAAACCACTTTCCTCTTTTTCTGCACTGTATGATGATGTTAGCTTTCTTGGAAAAATATTTTGCAAAGTTGATTGCATGCACATGCGGTGCATGTGCAACTTGCCGCTTTATATCGGACTTTGCTTGCTTGCTGCTTACTTTCTTTATGCTAAATGCAATGGTCTTGTTATGCAGGTACGCAGCAGGAGAATATAGCAAATTCCGTTCAATGCCATTGGTGGAAACAGCCATAGCATTAGCCGAAAGTGGCAAAATTGGGGCTTTCAATCTTATATTCAAGCGTCATCCATATACTATCTCTTCAGATATTTTACGTGTTTTGTCTGCTATCCCAGAAACTCTTGCTGTTCAGACTTATAGTCAGTTGCTACCAGGGAAATCCCCTCCCAGTGTTGTCATATTGAGAGATGGTGATTGGGTTGAATGTGAACAGATGGCTTCATATATAAACAATTGCCCTGCCAAGTTGGACAAGATTGGAGAGATCAAAACGGAAATACTTGTAAAGCACTCAAAAGGCTTTTCATGGCCTTCAGTTGCTGAACTTTGTGTGTGGTACAGGAACAGAGCAAGGGACATTGACTGCTTAAGTGGACAGCTGGAAAACTGTCTGGCCATGATAGAGCTTGCATGTCAGAAAGGCATCATAGAGTTGCAGCCATTCTTTGATGATATTAAATGCCTCTACCAGGTTGTATATTCTAACGAGTTGAATGAGTTTACAATGAATCTTTTGACATGGGAAGATCTGCCTGATTATGAAAAGTTCAAAATCATCCTCAGAGGAGTCAAAGAAGATACAGTTGTTCAACGGCTAGAAGAAAATGCTATCCCTTTTATGAAGAAGGGATTATACTCAACCTCCTCAAATAACGAACGCAAACAAGAATCCTACCTGGTTAGATGGCTGAAAGAGGTAGCTGCTGAAAATGAGCTTTTGATTTGCTTAGCTGTCATTGAAAATGGTTGTGGGGAGTCACCAATATATGGGCTCTTCAAGGATCTTGCTGAGATGATAGAAACAGCTGTTCACTGCATTTATATGTGCAGTGCAACTAACCAGTGGAATACCATGTCATCAATATTATCAAAGTTACTCTATAAAACAAAGAGAGAGAAATCTTTAGTGGCTAGTGAAGAAGACTGCAATCTGAAAGATGCTAAGCATGCTCTTGGTTCTCCTGTGGTTTCTTATGAGGAGATGCAATGTGTCTGTGCTGATATCTTATCTGGTCTGGGCAATGCTTCAGAAGATTTTTATCACTATGATTCAGTACCTTACGAACCTAATAATGTCAAATATCTTGATATATTGGAGAAGAGGCTAAAAGTTGCTGAAGGCCATGTAGAAGTAGGACGGCTCTTTACTTATTATCAGGTATTGATGCCTCTTCAATAAAATTACTGCTTCTATGTTTTTGTTTTGGTTTCTTTGGTGTTTTTGACATGTTGAATTGCAGTAAATCTACTTGGACTTCTTTAGCAGTGCTGCTCTGTATAGGGATACCTCATACCTGTGAGCATATGTGATGTGAGGAGGAAAAAGGAAAAAAAAATTATCACATGCTTTTCCATTTGTGCTGCAAAACATTGTCTATCTGCAAGATCAAAACCGACCTAGGTCTTCCACCTCTTAATTAACAGAACCACTGCTTGACAGAATAATTGTCACTCTCAGAACCCCTTTGTTGTGTTTTAATTCTATGCCACTGAACCTTTCATGCTGCCAAACAGAATTTAAAGATCTTTCATTTTATCAGTGAATAGTTCTATTTATTTAATCAGTTTATAAGAAGCTTGAAGTATTAGCAACCTTGATTTTTTTATCGGAAAGGAACCTGACCTTCAGGAATGATTTCAAGCTGTTCACAAGATTGAAGGAGAGTGCTTTGTAGCCATAGTTCTTTTCTTTCCTTTGGTGGGCTTGGCAGCACTGGTAAGTGGAGATAAGAGTGCACTGTGGGAGATGTGGGTGGATCGATTGGAATCGGTCAACATGTGAGGCAGATGCTGTTTGTGATTAAGTTGTAGAATTGTTCATGTATTTTCATTCCTTTGCATATTCATTTGCACTGATATACTCCTCTTAGTAATTTGGCGTAGTGTTCCACTTATAACCGAAATGAGCTTGCTAGCAGTCATACCTTTCATTTTTCGTGGATTGTTTACTTGTTTGCCAATGTTTTGCACTTTCAGTGCAACTCATAGCTGAATGTGGTTACAGGTCCCAAAACCAATGCATTTCTTCCTTAGTGCTCACTTAGACGAGAAGAATGTAAAGCAAATTATACGGCTGCTTCTATCGAAATTTGGCAGACGTCAACCTGGTCGATCAGACAATGAGTGGGCTAACATGTGGCGTGATTTGAAACTCTTCCAAGAAAAGGCATTTCCTTTTCTTGATTCAGAATATATGCTGGCAGAATTTATCAGAGGGCTTTTGAAAGCTGGTAAATTTTCGCTAGCCAGGAATTATCTTGGAGGAACCAGTGCTGTTTCTTTATCCACAGAGAAGGCTGAAAATCTTGTGATACAAGCTGCAAGGGAGTATTTCTTCTCGGCTTCAACTTTGTCTGGGAATGAAGTGAGTTAATGATACCAAATTTTTTGCCATCCAATTATTGATCTGCCATTTCATTTCTGATTAATGCTAACTTGGATTATACAATCCTTTGCAGATTTGGAAGGCCAGGGAATGCCTAAATCTGTTACCTAATAGCAAAAATGTTCAAGCAGAAACTGATATAATTGATGCCCTTACTGTTAGACTTCCTTATCTAGGGGTGACTATCCTTCCTGTTCAGTTCAGGCAGGTAAAGGATCCTATGGAGATCATCTGCATGGTGATAACAAGTCAAACAGGTGCATACCTTCATTTTGAAGAGATTATTGATGTCGCTAAACTTCTGGGATTAAGAAGTGAAGAGGAAGTAGCGGATGTGGAGGAGGCTATTGCTAGAGAAGCTGTGGTAAATGGTGATGTTCAACTTGCCCTTGATATCTGTTTAAATTTAACAAAAAAGAGTCATGGTGCAGTGTGGGATTTATGTGCTGCAATTGCTAGAGGCCCTCCACTTGACAATTTGGATACTGGTACCCGTGAAAAGCTATTGGGTTTCGCTCTCAGCCATTGTGATGAAGATTCTGTTGGGGATTTGTTGAATGCTTGGAAGGAGCTTCATGCTCATGGTAAATTTGAGAAATTAATTATTACAACGGCAACAAATCCTCCCAATTTCTTGATTGATGGATCTTCAATCACACCACTTCCTGTACAAAGTGTGCAAGACATACTTGACCTGAGAGATGACAGTGGCCATGATAGACATAGAGATCTTGTGGAAATTGTTAAAGACATGCTGTCAAAAGTTTGCTTGGACTTTTCAATTGGAGACGCACATAATTGGGAGTCTATGTTGGAAGAAAACCGGAAATTGTTGTACTTTGGAGCACTGGAATTACCATGGCTTTTGAAATTATTCAATAATGAAGCGTGTGATGGTGAAATAACGGATCATCCCACTAGGAGATGTCGATTTTCAACAAAAGTAGAAGCAGCAATCAGCATCATATATTGGTTAGCTGTAAATGGTTTGGCCCCCAACGATAATATAATCATGATTCTTGCAAAGTCTGTAATGGAGCCTCCCGTTGATGAAGAGTTTGATGTACTTGGCTGCTCGGTCCTTTTGAATCTCATGGACCCTTTCAATGGAGTGAAAATAATAGAGGAGGAGCTAAAAAGACGAGAATGTTATCAAGAAATTAGCAGCATAATGAGTATAGGAATGTTATATAGTTCCCTCAATAATTCTAAGAAAGAGTGCTCCACTCCTGAGCAGAGGAGAAATCTGTTGCTTCACAAATTTCATGAGAAGTTCACCTCAGCCGATACCGGTAGGTGTACTAAAATCAACAAGTCATCAATATGGTCACTATTTTACCTTTGAATATTCTGCTGAGCTCAATACTTCTGCTCAGCTTTATATGAATTGTTTTGTGCTACCATATTCATTTTGTTTCTACCAACTTTGACAGATGATTTAGACCAGATTGATATGGCAAATACAACCTTCTGGAGAGAATGGAAATCAAAGTTAGAAGAGGAGAAACAACTGGCTGATCAAGCGCGGATGCTCAAGCAAATATTACCTGATATTGACACATCTCGATTTTTGTCTGGTGATGTTAATTATGTCAAAAGAGTAGTTTACTCCTTTGTTGGTTCTGTAAAGCTGGAGAAAAAACACATACTCAAGGAAGCAGTAAGGATAGCTGAGACATATGGCTTGCAACGAACTGAGGTCTCTCTCACGCATCTGAGCTTATATTTTTGTTTTCTTTAGATGTAAATTTCTCATCTGCAGTTTTGTCTCTTGATATTTTACAATCTCGTATTTTTTGCTTGGATTTTTAGGTGCTTTTACGATTTCTCGCCTGCAGTCTTGTGTCCGAATACTGGGATAACAATGATATTCTGAACGAAATTTCTGAATTCCGGGAGGACATTGTCAGATCAGCTAAGGGTGTGATCGATATGGTATATTCAGATGTCTATCCGGAGATAGATGGGTATAATAAAGAACGCCTTTCTTACATTTATGGCATTCTTTCAGCATGCCATTCATATCTGAAGAGGACAAATGAGATAGAATTGAGATACCCAGAGCATGTGCATACCCATAAGCTTGAACCATTTCAGTATTATAAGGTACTTGAGGAAGAGTGCAAGAAAGTCTGCTTCATTGATGGCTTGAACTATAAAAACATTGCTGGACTGGATAATCTGAACTTTGAGCATTTCAATGAAGAAGTATGCAAGAATATCCATGCCTCTACCGTCACTACTCTAGCTGATATGGTACAATCTCTTGTGAGTATGTATGTTGATGTACTGGCCAAGGGACTCATATCACAACAAGGTGTTTACAAGCACTATGTTTTGGGGTTGCTGGCATCATTAGAAGGCCGCAGTGAAGCACAATCGAACTGCACAGATTATGAAAAGTTGCAGGCTGCCCTATGCGAAGTTGAGTTGAACTATGATAGTTGCAGGGAGTACATCCAAGCTCTTCCAACCACAGATATTTCATATATTGTAGGAAGGTATTGCACCCTCTGCTTTCCATCTAACTTAGCACGAAGCCATCCACAGGAACCTTCGTGGAGGAAACCTCTTGCAACACTACTAGCATTTTGGTCTAAACTTGTTGATGACGTACCGGGGGATTCAATTGATGCTTGCTCATATGAAAGAACAGACTACTTAAATTCAAATAGGTTATCTCTGTGCATAGGAGCTTTCAGGCAGCTATTGATAAATGATGAGATAGCACTGCACCAAGGTTGGGATGCCATCTCCATGTATGTAAAAGACTGCCTTAGAAGTGGAATGATGATGGAAACATCATGTTTTTGTAGAGCTATGATTCTATCAGGCTGCAGTTTTGAATCTGTAGTTGAAGTATACTATGGAGGACAAGGACAATTAGGGAGTGAGAATGCAGATTCAAGCAATTATTTGGATCTCTTAGAACTTTATAATGCTGCTACAGAAGAGTGTTTGTCGGATTTGAGTGAGGAATCTTGCGAATATCGAATATTGCTTCATCATTTGCTGTCGTCTTTGAGCCGGTCAACGGGAAAACATGCTGGTACTCTAGACATGGTCAGATCTGGTGTTTGGGGGAAGTTAATCCGCTTTTCAGAAGACATGCAGCTAGAGAGCCAATTACGAGTCTATGCACTACAGCTGATGCAATGTATCACAGGAAGAAACCTTAAAACTCTTCCAAATGAGATGGTGTGCCAGGTTGAGCCATGGGAATCATGGTATGAGCATGGAGCAGGTGCTGCCATGGCTGATGAGAGTATCAACTCCTCTAGCAGCATCACAGGGACTCTTGTGGCACTTAGATCTACTCAGATGGTCACTGCAGTTCTGCCTGATGCTAATATCACTCCAGAAAACCTAGCAACTCTTGGCTCTGCAGTATCTTGTTTTTTAAAATTGTCAGAACATGCTTCTGCTGCGAACGTTGCTGTTTTGGAAGCAGTGTTAGAAGAGTGGGAGCAATTGTTCTCCCCAAAAGAAGAGCATGTTACGCCTCATGAATCACCAAAAGAAACAAGTGACTGGAGTGATGGATGGGATGATGGCTGGGAGGCCCTACCGGAAGAGCTAGAGAGTCCAAAGAATAAACAAGATGGTGTGTCGTTATCTGTCCATCCCCTCCACAGTTGTTGGATGGAGGTTATCAGAAAACGTGTTGAGCTTGGTGAGCTGCACAAGGTCCTTGAACTTCTGGACCGAGCATCTGCGAAACATAGCGTGTTCCTAGAGGAAGAAGAAGCACACAGCTTGGTTGAGCTTGTATCTGCTCTGGACTGCTTCATGGCTCTTAAAACTGTGCTGCTACTCCCATATGAAGCTCTGAGACTGCAGTGCCTGCAGATGGTGGAGGTGAAAATGAGGGAAGGAATCGTGTCCACCTCATCAAATGCTGATGATCATGAGCTCCTTGCCTTGGTTCTTTCCTCTGAAACTGTGCAGAAGATCACCACAGAAGAGGCATACTCTAATTTTTTCTCTTACATATGCCATCTTGTCGGGCACCTTGCAAGGTCATTCCAGACTGATCTCCTCGTACAATGGAACGATGAAGCGACATCTAAGATCAACAGATCTTTACTGTTCGGTAGAGTTTTGTTTCCATGTTTTGTATCTGAACTGGTCCTCAGAGGGCAGTATCTTCTGGCTGGGTTCGTCATCTCGAGATGGATGCACACACATCCATCCCTGGGCCTGATGGATATCACTGAGACCAGTGTGCGACGCTTCCTTCAAGGCCAGGTTGCCCAAGCTGAGCTGGTGGGAGGGAGCGACGCTGCTTTCACTGACGGTGAAGTTTGTATAAGGCACATAATCTCCACCCTACAGTCGAAACTTGTTTCTCTTCTGCAGTCCGCACTGGCAGCCCTCCCGAACCAGGAGTTGTAGGCAGCATTAGTTTTGTGTACATTTTTTAACTTTACACTGATGCTGTACTACCAGTGTACCTGTAACATAAAATGTTCGCTTGAGATAATGGTAAAAGTGAATAGTGGAAGATTTCATAATGTTTTCCCAAAACTACAAAGTTCTTTAGGTTCAGAAACACAACCACCTAAAACAACCACATCCCCAATCCAAGTATTCTTGATCACCAAGCCTGGCTTTAACCAAAGAAACAACGCGAGCCCACAGAGGCTGCAGAGCATGTTCACAAAGAAGTTAAAGCGACTTAAATTACTTCATTACAGGCTATGGTCCGGCAAACAGCACACAGGCTGAAGAAGACCACTGCACAGCACGGTCAATCAGAACCATGAGTTGCTGATCATCCGTATTTCCTTCCTTCGTGACTTGATTGTGGAAGAGCAGCACCGTCGTCTTCAAGCTTTTTGATCCCTGCACCATCTACTTCTGCAGCGTAGACTTCTGCAAACCTGCCGAATAGACGAGGAAAGAACAGATCATATCCAGTTATCTCAATCAGGGATTTGACGCGTTTGTCTTCGCAGCAGGCAGTTTCTTGTACGCCAGATTGCCTAGCAAATAGCAGCAAGACCCACTGCATACACAGGTTTACCATTGGCCATTGGGTAAGCTTATTGTAACTTGATTCACGTTACAAGGTCTGCAGACTGCAGTTGATTCCAAAAGTAAAGGCAACGTCCCTCCGTTGCAAAATACTTGACTCTGTCCCGTATTAGTTGTCACTGTAGAAATGGTCACAGAGACCAACGCGCAAGCCAAAAGACTCTGACACCCTACACTGGCATCTTGCAGCTGACGGCAACGTCGAGCAAAGCTGTTGCTCCGGCTGAAAAATAATATTTTACTGAACTCTCCACACCGGGGTAGAGACATCAACAGTGAATCTCTATTTTCTATTTGATCTTACAGCCGAGTGGAAGACAAAAAGTGACAGCTTGATGCTACGTTGGTAATGGTCAAGCGCGTATGCTGGTCTATAACGTCAACAATTGTGAGACAAATTTTGAATCTCAAAACGTCGTGTATTTGGGACGGATGAAGTAAGTGTTAATTTCGCATCATGAGAAGTTAATCAAACTCAAGTTTAACTAAATATATATAATACGAAATAAACATCATTAGATTAATCACGTTATATATTTTTATTGTAAACTTATTTAAAGATACAAATAATAATATATTTTTTATAAATTTAGTCAAACTTAAAATTTACACTTATTTTGGGATAGATAGATGAATTATTTAGTTGTTGTACACCCAAAGAAAAGATGTTTCAAATGGCTTTTTTTAGAAAAGAATGACATTTAGGTCACGTTCGCTTCGCTGAAAAAACAAACCGATACACTATTTCAGCTGATTTGTTGTGAGAGAAAAACACTGTTCCGGCTGAAAAAACAAGCTGAAAAGTACGGATTATAAGAGAAACGAATAGGGCCTTAAAGCTTGTTTAGATGCATATGTATCCACCTCAATCTATATATCCACTTCAATACACTTCAACCCATATGTTGAGATGAATACATGCAAACCAGACCGTCTCGAAAACCCGAGCTCCCATCATCCCAAAACAAAACCCGTAAACTCTAAAAAAAAAAAATCTCAAAGCTCAGGCTGCTGCTCCTGCTCCTGCTCCGGAGAAATTTCGTACCACGCTTGACCAAGACAAAAGGAAACACGTACGCGCCGCTCAGCTAACTAAACACGAATCACACCTAAACCATTGCGTCGTCTTCGTTCCAGCGGCAGCCCAGAGTTGGAACCCCCCCACGCACGCAGCACCGTCGTTGAACTCTTCCCGTTGCGGCGGCGGCGGAGATGGCGGCGAATCTAGAGGACGTGCCTTCTCTGGATCTGATGCACGAACTGCTCCGCCGCATGAAGTGCAGCTCCAAGCCCGACAAGCACCTCATCCTCATCGGTACGGGAGGCCCTCCCCTTCTTCCTCCTCCTCGCCGGCGGCGGCGGCGGTTCCGCGCTGTTCCTGGTGCCGCCGGGAGGGCAAGGCTGCGGCTTGCCGCGGTTCGCTCTCTGGATCCGCCGCACTTCCCGTGAAATCTTGGTTATTTTCCTATTTCACTTCTTGCACTGCATTTGTGGCGAAGAAACATGGCTTCGTTTTGCATACTGCATTTGTGGCTGAAGCCTTCCGCTGTTTGGTTTTGGTGATTTTGTCGTAATCTAGAATTCTTCAAGGATTGAAGGATAATTGCAGTATGCTTGGCCTGGTGTTGAAGCCTTTTCTTCATGACGATAAGATATGGGTGCAACTTTGTGCATGTGCGTAGAGAAGTAGATCTCGACAAATGCTAGTCTGACCTACCCCCTTTCTAACATTGGGTCCACTTAAATATTTATTGTCACCCAAACCTTATGCAACTATACTTTTAGTTTTTGTTGCTAATGATTATGTATTTACATCGCAAAAAAAAAACCCTGCATTAGAGCATCTCCAAAGCTCCTTAAAAATTACTTGCTAAACCAATGATTATGTTAAGTGAATAAAATATATAGGGAGCTCTATTTTTGCTTTTCGTCCAATAGTTCGCTTTGTAAAACTCGGAAACTGGGCAGGACAGGAGGAAAACTGCAGTGCATGGAGAGTGCCTCTGGATAGATGGCAAGCGCGGAACCCACGCGTATATTTGTGAGTTGAGGGGGGTAGATATACCAAGTGCTTATCTTTATGGAAGTTCAGATACAAAACTGTTGGAGGGCTCATTAGGGAGTTTTAAGGAGCTCTTGGAGATGCTTTTAACAAAATGATACTAAACTGTGACACCGAACACAAGTAAATTGCAATATATGGTGTGTCTGCTATTTGGTGTCTTTTTTTCATGGTAGCCTTGTTCCTTGTCATGCTGTTTGACTTGACATATTATTCTTGTTGGGTAGTATTGTATAGGAACATGTAATATCATAGTGCCTTTTGTTTCCTCATTCACAAGACTTTTGATTTGTATTCTTTAGTGCTCCTGATTTGGAGAATTTGACACCCCTTTTACTAATCTTGTAGGCCCACCTGGCTCTGGAAAGGGTACTCAGTCTCCCCTTATTAAGGATGAATATTGCCTGTGCCATTTAGCCACTGGTGATATGCTGAGGGCTGCTGTGGCAGCCAAGACACCTCTAGGTATCAAAGCTAAAGAAGCTATGGATAAGGTAATGTTAGCAGACCAAAACATATAAGAGAAATGCTAACCAGCAGAAGTGTTTCTTTGTGACTCCATTGTCCTTCCTCTTTTAGGGGGAGCTTGTTTCAGATGGCTTGGTTGTGGGGCTTATTGATGAAGCTATGAAGAAACCCTCATGCCAGAAAGGTTTCATTCTTGATGGCTTCCCAAGAACTGTCACTCAAGCACAGAAGGTCAGATGCTCGATCGATGCATCAGCGAAGAAACATTCCTATAGCATATTCTTGTAGATTCTATATTTGATTTAGTATAATTTCCCCCACGCTGTTTTTTTTGAACATCCTGTACAGCTCGATGAGATGTTGGCAAAGCAAGGTGCTAATGTTGACAAGGTCCTGAACTTTGCAATTGATGATGCTATATTGGAAGAACGGATTACTGGTCGTTGGATCCATCCAGCCAGTGGTAGGACTTACCATACAAAATTTGCACCTCCAAAGTCTCCGGGAGTTGATGATGTAAGTCGAGTACAGAGCATTTAGTTTAGCCGCTTATTTTATGTTTGCATGATATTATTTGTATTGCTTCTACTTTCTTCTAGTCTTAGTGTGGATCGATTCAGTATTCTACTGTGTATGTTCAAGTTTTCCACTCAGCTTCATGTGGCATAACTTTTCCAATCTGTTAGATAAATTAGAGAAATCGCATCTTGACAATTATGGCTGGGTGAATATTTTTTTTCTCGAACACGCAGGAGAGCTGCATGTCATTGTATTAAGAAGAAATGGCTGAGTGAATATTTACATACTGTTATGGTCTGAGTCTGCTTGTGGATGCTATTATTTCTTCTTGTATGATGTACTGGTTAGTTTAAGCAGTGGTGCAGCTTCTTTCTGCACCCTGTTTCTCCCTCAAGGAAAACCATGCTCATGAAAAATGCACATAGATAAATTCTACAGTTATTGCTATCTGTTTTGTAGGAAGAAAAAAACTGCATTATTGAAAGCACTTCTGCCTTCTCTTGTATTCAGCTATTAATAGTGAAAGTTTATGTGACTTTATCCAGAATATATTTATCATCTGTTGTGTATTTGCTCTTCTTTTTCACAAAGGTAACTGGAGAGCCATTGATTCAAAGGAGAGATGACACAGCTGAGGTTTTGAAGTCAAGGCTTGAAGCCTTCCACAGACAAACTGAGCCTGTATGTTATTCTTTAAAAGAATCATTTTTCTGAAAAAATATCTTGTACCACTATATATGTATATATTAAAGTTATTTAGTGTCTTACCTTCTAAAAATTGGTCCTATTGTTTAAGAATTAATTTGGCTTGTCTTACATTTGTTCATTGATGATTCCCTTCCATTTAAATATTTATATCATCAATTATGTCATTAGTGCTGCATAAAGTTCAACGATTTGGTGGGCCCTGTTTAATGTGCATTTTTATGTCCTTTATTATAGTTTTCATTCTTATATGTTTTTTGTGATCGCATAAGTCTTTTGGGCTCTCCACTTTTAGTTCTGATTTACATCATGAGAATCAATTTGTGTATCTCTGTACTTAATGATGTAATTTTTTTAGATCAATATTATTCCTAATTTGAAAACAATTGGTTTGTCCCAGGTGATTGACTATTACTCTAAGAAGGGCTTGGTGGCGAATCTGCCTGCAGAGAAACCACCAAAGGAAGTGACTGCTGAGGTGCTAAAAGCCCTCTCATGATGAAGTGTCCACTCTTCAGGTTAAGCATGACATGTACCAAAATCCCTTTGTCTGGGTTTCTTCAAAATTTTACTTTACGCCAACATCATGCAGTGCCCTTTTTGTGCGAATGCACCATTTTGTCACCGTTTTGACAAGCTCGGGAACTGTTGACTAATCTCTGTTTCGAATGAGGGAAGCTGTTTTCAGTACAATGCTGAGATGATTACAGCAATGCTAACCATGTTCCAGTCCTTTCATCAATGCTATGTGACTGGCTATGATAATCGGGAAAATACCTACAGCCTGTTCGGTTGGCTGGTTCGTTTCGTTGCTGGTTCGTGAAGAAGTACTACTGACTGGTTTGTGTGAGAGAAAAATACTATTCCGGCTTACGACAAGCCACAGCCAAACGAACAGGCTTAGCTCTTCTGTTCGCCCAGCACCTTGCTATGTTGAGTGGAAGTATCGATGTGCTACGATGTCAAATAAACGTTTCTAAGTTGTATGATTCTGAACTCGTTGTGATGTTTACTCGTATTGGGGTAGCTAGTGCGGTTGAGCTGTACTCATGCTTATTATTTTGAGTAGATGTACAACTTGAGAAATTCCTTAATATAAAATGTTGCACAACTGATAATGCCACGACTTGGATAAGATTGCTGAAGAGTGAAGACGTGGCACCGCCCAAAACCCAATGCCTGATTGCCTGGATGTAGTCACGTAGATGGGCTGGAGAGGGGGGATGGCAAACGAGGCAATCAACAATGAAGACCAATATAGTTCCCATCTTGGCATATGGCGCCCCCAGGACCTTCTCCGCGTGGTGGAGGGACAAAAGCATTGGCTTATTACCCGAAACAAATACAACAGCATGACCCGATCATGATGACAATATACCATACAACCTCAACAAGACCAAAGAACATTTCCTGAAATTTCCGGACTCCAGCAACACACCACATCCGCAGCTCTTCGTTAAAAGAACTGTTGGGCAGCCAGCAATGATAGAGTCGCCATCAAAGGCATTCCCGAGATTTCATGGGGTCCAAGCTCCCAAGATCACAACACTATTGGACCCTTTTCTTTAAGGCCTTCCAATTCTAGCTTATGAGTTTAAAAAAAAAAAATCTAGCTTTTGTCCATCAGTCAGCGAATCACTCATCACTCATGGCATCTAGGTGAAGTGCGTTGGAGGCCAATAGGGGCCAGCAAATTGTGCCACAATTTTTTCTCGAAAACAAATTATGCCACAATTGCCTAGAAAAAACACAGCTGGTAAGAAAATTGTTGCACCAGTCTCCTCTTGATCACAAAGAACTGACTCTTTGTGCGGCTGCATGTTGGAAGCCATTTTATAGTCTACTGCATTTTATTGATAGGAAGCATTCACCAAAAGAATTTCAAACATGTGGGTATTTGGGTTAGATAAATAGATAAAATTTAGAACGTGGTATGGCAAAGCACACACAGCTAACACATTCTCCCAAATTTGTTCTCCACTTGTGCAAGCGGTAGAGTCTTACTGCATATGACCGGAAGGTCCCGGGTTCGAGTCGCGGTCTTCTCGCATTGCACAGGCGAGGGTAAGGCTTGCCACTAACACCCTTCCCCAGACCCCGCACAGAGCGGGAGCTCTCTGCACTGGGTACGCCCTTTTGTTTATCAAATTTGTATAGAAGTACAGCTTGTAACAAAGCTAACCTATTGTGCTAAATGCCTTAGTAATCCACCTTGACCTTGCTATCCAATTCAGTAAATTCTGCATAATATGCCTTGAAATGCTCATATGCGTGGCTAATATCGTCAACGGCACACATTTCTCTGATGCTGTGCATTGATAATTGGGGTGCTCCAATATCAACAGTGCGAATACCAACACCACTAGCAAGTATTGGGCCAATTGTTGAACCACAAGCCATGTCATTGCGAACAACAAAATCCTGCATATTTGGAAAATGAATAAGATTCTGCCAATGCATCAAGCAAAATTGATTTATTGACTAAAAAAATAAAACAAATAATAAAAACTTGAAACTCAGAGCATTGTCTGAATCCACATTAATAAATACAATGATGTGAAACAAAATGTTTAGATGGAGCATAAAGTAGAAAAATATCCCATGTTCAATGCTCCTACAAGATACCAGTCTCTCATGAGAGAGAAGCATATATAGACAAATAAAACAAAACCTAAGAACCAATCTTCTAAAACCTAGTTCATTAGATCAGCCTAACAGCAAGGTCACCAAAAAAGATGAAAAAGCTTAACAACAAAAGATAAACACTAGGAACACACATCATAATCATTAACTCTAGATTTGGATGGTATTGGATGCATTGAGAGCTCAGTTACATCTCTGACTGCAAAACTAGCTCATAAGGCTTATAAAATATGTTCATCCTTATAACAATTGTAGATCAATAAATGGATTCCTTATTACAAAAACAAATTAATATAAATCAGAACTATAAGGAAAAATGTCAAGATTGGAGTAACCATTAGTAATTCACAATTATTATATGGGTCCTTTCTGTATCAACTAACCTGTATAGGTAGTTGGTGTCTCTCAGCAATTTCTCGGAAAATAAATGCTGTCACAGCATTTGTAGCATATCGTTGATTAGCGTTATGCTTGATTACAAGTCCTCCATGCAATTTTGGTTGGTGGTTCTCCTCATGCTTGTCCTGGAAAAGTAGATCACAAAATGACTCAGAATTGTATTTATATCTTGATGCATATATGTAAAATGTTAGATAATTCTTACCATATAATTGGGGTGTAAAGCATGTGCCATGTCAGCAGACACCAGAAAGCTCCTCTGTATAGCTTTTTCTAGCAACTGAAAAGTAAATAAAAAAAAAACAGTTTGCCGTTTTCTATTACAACTTGGAAACTAACTTATATAAAAAAAACTGCAAATAATGTGGTAGGATAAAATAAAGGATAACAATTTTGAAAGGTTGTACACACATTACTAAGTACCTTGGAATTTGAAGAGTTAAAAGACCCAGTGATTCTTGATAAAGCATCCAACATGGCAGGGGAACCAGCTCCCTGAGCAGAATCAGACCCAACTTCTTCATGGTCAAATAGAGCTACCATTCGCACACCAGATTCATGGTCAAGAGAGTGTTCAACAGAACTGGAGTCAATTAGGGCCTGAAATAGTATTAGAGAAATAATTGTTATTATGATTTTATTGCAAAAAATGGCATTAATTAGGATTTTGTTACTAAAAAGAAAATGCTCTTGGCGATACAGACTTGAAAGTCCATTCGATGTTAGAACACTCAGAATCATACAAGTATCATGGAACGGTTAATCTTATAGAGAGATTTGTTATCCAAAAGAGAGGATATTACTAATAAGTATATAAAAGTATTAAACTGTAGCTAGCACATTTGATAACACTCACAGTTAGTATTTTTTAAACAGAATGGCAGCTATAGGTATAAACCAAATATCTTCTTTCCTACTACATGTAAGATTATATATTTTCCCCCTAGAAAATTTGCTCAAAACATACCATTGGTGCAACTGCAAGTAGCTAGCTCTAAATTGACAATTTATATAGAACAATGACAGCAAGAAATCACAAGATGTGGTAGCTATAGGTAAATAAAACAGTAAAGACAAACCTTCAATGAACAAAATGACATGCAAAGATTGTCAAGCCTTCCTGAAAAGATGAACTCTTTCATGGCACCTGCTACAGCACTTGGTTGAGTATCACATAGTTGTAGTTCAAAGTCACATATCTTATCAGGCTCACAGTTAGCCTCTTTAGCAATCAACTGCAACAAAAAATAACATCAGTGGAAGTGGAAGTGTGGAACATACTTCAGAACCCAAGGACTCTTGATATTTTGTTTTTATATTATATGTGAGAACCTCTGGTGGAGTTGAACTACAATGCCAAAAAAGTACCTGCAATAGTAATGGATGATGCTTTGTGTTCACATTCTCGGATGCCTGCTTTGGGCCATTTTCTGCTACAAATTTCTGCATTTCATTCTGTAAAATGATAGTATGAGTTTACCTTCAGCATCAAAAGATGTGCGCTCAATTGATTTGTTGCAAATCAATTATTCAGGAAAAGTTGCTCATGCTATACAAAATTTTGTCTTTTCAACCAACAAACAAATCAATGCATTCAAATCACCTTGATACATGTAGCCAGCACTGGAACAAGATGACTCTGATTGTTAACCTTGAGACCTTCTGAGTTGAGAGTCCTGTACATAATGTATTAAATTATTTAGTGTCACTGTAACAGGCCACACTTTCAAGGGAACCTACAACCTATAGGATTGATTGTACTATCACAAATGGCTGCAATAATAATATAATATAATAACAATAACAACAACAACAATAATAATAAATAGTAACACAATGAGACATAACAAATAGAAATTTACTGTGTCCCAACCTGTCTAGGTGAATAGCCAAAGTAGGTATCCTCATAATTGGTTCTTGTACCCGTACAAGCTTGTGTGCATAAGAGACCTCGCCATCCTTCTTCTCCCTTATAATCACCCTACCAGCAACAGTAAGATCACGGTCGAACCATGTGTACCACAATCCACCACCATACGTTTGAACCCCAACCTCAAGGTAACCTCCTTTGGTTACCTGCAAAACAAGCAAGATACTATCAGTAACTTATCAAAATGTGCATCATCATCTACCACCTACAACTCAATAACAACTTCTGTTCCTGGTTAAGACATGAATCACTGGTTACACAGACACCTGCTATCATATGAAATACAGGACACAAGGTACTCTGAAATCAGTGAGCATCTGAGCAAGAGTTGAGGCTTGATACCTTGGAGACGGGCTTGAGCTTGAGGCAAGGGCTGTCGGTGTGCGCACCAATGATGTGAAACCCATTGCCAGCAACGTATCTGTGAAACATCAACACATAATCTAGTCAATTAATCCACATAACAAACAAGTCAACGCAATATGTACAGAATATTTTGTTAACTACTGTAGAAAGCATGGATTTAAGGCTCTCAAGAACCTAAGGCTGGTGAGAACAAGGAGGACGGGGAGCGGATCTAGCTCACTCACTTTGCGCCGATGGCGAATGCGATGATGGTGGAGTGGTTGCGTGTGAAGAAGTACTTGCGCCCGGGCTCGAGCCCCGCCCACTCCTCCCGCTCCGAGAGCTGCACGAACCCCGCCGCCTTCAGCCGCCGCTTCGCCTCGTCTTCTCCCGATGGAAGCAACAACCCAACGGAGTCAGCTCAGATCAATTCCGCGAGGAAAAAAAAGGGAAAGGGGAACAGATGATGCGTACCAACTGCGTGAAAGGCGGTGGGCGACGCGTTGAGGAAGTCGACGAGGTCGGAGACGACGGGGGCGACGGCTGCCATGGGCGCTGGCGGCGATGATGCCGATGCGGCTGGCCAACAGCGAACTAGACGGAAGTGCGGTCGTGTTGAGAAATTTCCAAACTAAGGCCTATCACCTCCAAATTCAGTTTTTTCACTCTCTTGAGAAATTTGTAGATAAAAAAACTATTAATTATTATTTAGTGTAAATGGTTGGAATCTTTTAATTCGGTGGGATGGGATGGGATACAAATAAAACCCTGGTATCAAGGGTTATAAAATTTGCAATCTAAATTAAGAGGCTGTTTGGTTGAATGATTCGGTGGGATGGGATGGGATTGGAGAGTCATAATCCCCTCCACCTGAAGTCCTTAGCCATTGTTTTAATTTTTTGGAGCATATTCGGTTGACTCCATGGCGAAAATGGAATATTTAAATTTTTTACTTAATTCAAATGAAAAATCAATAGATCTCGCCGAGATCTAAATTTTCATATAAAAATTATTTTCATTTAATTCCGAACTTTCTAGTTTTGAGTTTTTCATTTGAAGTCGTTAAGATGCTAAAAAAATTTAACATATTTGAACAGAGACAGAAATAGAAGTATAAAATACCATATTTGCGATATTTTATAATGGCACGCCAGGAATTGCGTTATGAGGCGATGAAAGTCAGGCAAGGGATAGAGTCATTCCACCTGAACAATTTGGAGTATATTGTCCCCCATGGAATATTTAAATTTTTACAATTATAATCAATGGCAACTTTTGAGATAGCACTTTTTTAACGCCAGAGACAGAAATAGGCGCATATTTATCATCGACGCGCTCTCTATGCTTGTCAAGACAACATGCGCCTGTGAAATGTCCCTCCTGCCAGCTTGCTCTCCACCCATGGTGCGCCGCCGTCTCTATGCTTCCGGCAATCCGCAGCAGCGACGGAAAAGCACGGCTTCCGGCAATCCAGCGGCGTCGACGCCTACGGCTTCCGCCCCATCCACACCCTCTCTGTCTTAGCTCCCCTCGCGTCCTAGGCCTGTCCTCGCCTCTTCACCTGCTGCTCCCCCGCCCTGGGTCCGCCGCCCCGCCGAGAGAACTCGGGAACCCGGCCACCACCGTGCAGGTCCGGCGGGGCCTCTTCACTGAGGTCGTCCTTGCCGCGCCCGGTGTCGAGCTTAGCTTGGACCGTGGTCCAGGCCGGTCCACAGCGCGCGACGCAACGCACTGCCAGGAGGCTCGCCAGTGGCCCGCGCCTCCCCTCGTCGTCATGGCCTGGCCCCATCTCAGCCCCCCGCGCGCGCCGTCGCGATGGCAAGGCTCGCGTGCCCGCGGCGGCCGTGTTCGCTGCCGCCTGCCTCCTGGCATGCCGCGCCGTCGCAGAGCCCCCGTCGAGCGACCGGAGCCCCCTGCTCAGACGGTGCTGTGCCACAGGAGGACGCGGTCGTCGTTGACGCTCACAAAGGAACCGGTGCCACGCCGTCAAACGCAACGCTCTTTGGGCCAACCAGAGAATCAGGCAGCTCCAGCCCTTGGATTTTGCTTGCATAGATGGCTTTCGCTACGGCCAAACTCCAACTGTGAATCTACCTCGCCAAGGATCAACAACGGCACAAAAGTACCAGAAGGTAGGAAACGAATAACGAATCACTTCAGCGCCATTGATCGCTCACGCAGCGGCATCACCCCATGAAGCTATCCGCATGCATGTTGTCTCTGCCGTTCACGCGGCTGTGGGCACGGCCATGATGCTCTTGCGGGTCGCATTCGCCTCTCACAGAGAGGTTCTGGAGCACCCCGGCGTAGGCCACACGCGGCCACGGTCACGGTCACGGCCGCGTCCCGCGACGTCGTCGTCAGTGGGAGCAGCTAGCACCGCGCACGCGTTCTCAGTCGGGGCCGCACCATCGGACTCGAGCCCGCGGCACAGGCGTGGGGCACTCGACAGGAACGATCTCTCATCTCATCCGGTGTCGGGCGGCGCTGCAGGGACTACCTGGGAGTAGCTGGAGGAGCAGTAGGCGGATTGGGCCAAGTGGATAGCCCTGCCAACGGCCTCAAATCCAGCCTGAACCCACACCAAATCGTTTTCAGTGAGAATACGAATCCAATTCAACCTTGATCTGCTCCAATATCCCTAGGAAAATTCCAATCATATTCAGCGTATATATCTCTTTGCTCAAATAGATTATTCTATAAAAGATCCATATTCTACGAGCCTAAGTTATGTCATTGAAATGTGTTTCTTCAGTAGTTTTGGTTTGACTATTTCGTTCACATTTTAAACTCCATTTCTTTGCTAATAAAAGAGAGAACAATATCTGTTTTTAAAACATTTCTAGTGGCCTTTGCTCTATATTCTAAAGGATCCATGTTCCACGAGCCTAAGTTATGTTATTGCAATATGTTTCTTTAGTAGTTTTGGTTTGACTATTTCGTTCTCGTTTTAAACTCCACTTCTATTCTTTTTGCTAATAAAAGAGAGAACAATATCTATTTTAAAAACATTTTTAGTGGATTTCTTGGTTCGGGCTGACAAAGTAATGACACTTGATTATTATGGACCCAATAAGTTCTACCAAACCTACATATTCAAACTAAGTGCTATCACTTCCTTTTGGAGAAGTTGGTCTAATATACCATGAGATATCGACTAGAAATGCAGCCTGTTCGTTTGACTGTGACTTATCGTAAACGATCGTAAATTTTCAGCCGGAACAGTATTTTTCTCTCATACAAACCCACCAAGCAGTACTTCTTCACGAACCAGCAACGAAACGAACCAGCCAACCGAACAGGCTAATGGTGCTAAGTCTGACTCCAATAACGTGACCCAAATCTAAGACTCATTTTACAGTTTAGGTAACGTATAGTAAATGAGGTACATACCCATAACTTTCACCTCTCCAACAGACCACCGCAAGCGCACATGGCACCTCCCGTATTCTCTCTCTCCTCTTCCAAATGCCATGGTCGTGCCCGTCTCAGCTAACCTGCGCGGCCTCCGCGCCATGGCCGTCCACACCGCCAAGCCTGCACGCGCGCTCTCCCACCCCCCCCCTCACACCCGCTCGAGCTCGAGTTCACAGAGGGCTGCCTGGCATATCCGCCTGCGCCCATGCAAGTCCGCGCCCGCTTCGGGCGGTTGAACTCCTCGGCGCTCCGTGAGTCCGCCCCTGCCCGGCGAGGCTTCACCGCACGCGCGCCCATGGCGTTGTCTCCCCTACATGCGCCGCCATGGGGGCGAGCTCTTGACCCACGCCCGGCGAGATCCGACGCGGCGGCGGTGGCCCCCCGGATCCTAGCGACGGCGGCTCCCCAAGCTCGCGTGTGGCGGCGGCTCCCCCAAGCTCGCGCTCTTCTCCACGGGCGGCGAGCGGCCCAGGCTGGCGGCATTGCTCCACCGCAGGCGGACCTCGCCGGCGGGATCCTCCCTCCCCTGCCCGATGCCGCCTGTCCCTGCTCCCACCGACCTCCATTGGCGACCGCAACCCCTCCCCTGCTCCCTCCGATGGCCGCCGCAGCCCCTCCCCTGCCCGATGCCGCCTACCCCTGCTCCCTCCTCCCTCTCTCTCTGCAATGTTTTGTGTCGTCGAGAACGACGACGCTTTTTTGCCTTCCGAGTCGGTTGCTACGCAAAATGGCTGCCGTGTTTGCGTTCTCCGTTGGACCATGATTTTGCGACCCAAAACACTGTGCACTAGACAATTTGCATTTGGGTCGCCGTTTACTGCGTTGTTGGAGACCGTCTAAGCTAGCTTACCTACCCACAATGAAAAAACATCGATCCTTTCATATGCTAACTTTGCTACAACACTTCCTAATAAATAGGGCTTGTTCGCTTGAACTTATCAGTCGGCTTATCAGCTAGAATCTATAATATTTTTCTCTCACAACAAAACAGTTTCAGTCGGCTTATCGCCCAGCTTTAATACCAGCCGAACAGGCCATAGATGTAATAATCTATTAAATAACATTTTGGATAGATAGTCCATTCCATTCTTCTAACATTGAATTATTGATTATGTTTGTTTGCCCACCCATTAAAAACGAACCAGATCAACTCACGCACAATTCCAATCCAAAAATCAATCCACCCCATTATCCCCAAACCAACTAGAAAATATCCTCAAACCGGTTAGAATTGTTTGAAAACCATTTAGAATCTATTTCTAGCCTACACGTGGTGTACAGTGTCCACGTGCGTAATCATCAGGCTAACTAGCCAAGGGATGAAAATGCACTCGATGAATTGGCACTCATGCTCATAGGTGGAAGAAGGCATGACAAAAGGATCTCACATGGCGAAGATAAGAACCAAACTAATGGACGCCGCAGAGCGCCAACCCGACCTTTTACCCTATGTGGGCCATGTCACGGTGGATGCTTGCGACTACAGTATGACGTGTGCCACCGTGTTACTCGATAGACTAGCTCATGGAGACACCAAAGGATAGCACGTGGACATATCGTGTGGGAGGAAAGCATGGTGTAGATTGTTATAGACCTTGCATCACCGGAAAAAGAGTCTCAGTGGCAGAGCCACCGCCCCGATGACCCTAGACGGCTGTCCGGGCTCATCGATGAAGTGTAAAGGGTTCTTGCTTGTATTATAAAAAAGAAACACTATGTTTTTTTTGTTTGAATTCCTAAAAAATTTTGGGTGATAATGGACGATGTGCTTGACAGTGGAGTCGAGGAGGTTGGCTGTGAGGCGATCGTTGGGCGAATGTGCGATGGCAAAGTATATAATTCATAAAACCATATTATTTTCGAAAACAATAAAAATACTTTACATTTAAACAGTGCTCAAACCTGTAAAGATTATGTGGCATTTTAAAAAACCATGTATCAATATCGTTGAGAATGGCTTAAGGTAAAAAATGTCACCAAGAGCGCATAATTAACATTCAGCGCAAATAAAAAAAATCCAAATAAAAAACATTTTGAGACGGAAATGATATGAAACCTACGGCATAATATCTGTCCACCTGGCCCAATTATCGCGCTCCTCTCATCCACACCACCAAACCTCCACCGCTCTTC